TAGTGTTTTATTTAAGACAATTCTTTTGTATTAAAAGTTAACCTAGCGTATTCCAGGCAATTTGAGGCAAAACGAGCAACGGCTAAATGTCAGATTTCGCTGATTACCCTTAATATAGGGGTGGTAGGTATAATTGGTAGTTATGACGGAGCAAACGATTTCCACGATTTGAAAAATTACTTCATTTACTTAGTTTCTTTTTAAAAAAGTCGGTATATATGCATTAGTGGACACGCAAGCTTAACACCTCAAAATTAGCTATTCTGGAATACCTAGATGTAGGTTAATTTTTAAATAATTTACATGGTGTAAGAAGTTTGACTGCCATTACTTCAGCATGAAATGGAGTAATCATAAATGAACAAAAATGTTGTATATTACAGGGGCGTAAGATTAACAGTTTTCAATATACAGCGAGTATTAATATTGGGGAGTTTCATCACAACGTGACAAAAGCGCTTAACCTAATGCCACACAGCTGGTGCATACCACGTGTGCACCAGGCAGACTTGTCCTACGGAAAAAATGTAAAAACAAATAATGGGAAAACGTTAAGAAAATTCAAAAAAAATGGTTTCCAAGTTTGAAAAAAACAAAAAAAAAAGTATCGATTTTGTAGTACGAAGATACTGTTGTGCTTAAATTTTAACTCGAATTTTAGTAAGTATGAATCTCTTAAAACAGGAACTTAAATTTTAATCAAACTATGTATTTGGAAAAAGAGGAAATAAACTACCCAAAGATTCACGTCGTCCAATACGTATTCAAAATAATTTAGGTACTTACCAAAAAGCAAAATTCAGTAATTTTTAAACGCACAAGTACAGACATATACCCATTTTCGATGCACACACGACACCTTCGAATCCAATGTTCGTGCATTCGCTGGAAAACACCACAAGAAAAGGAAATAGTGGTACGCAAAAAACACTCCGATACTGTCGAATCCAAATACCAACTAATATCTCCGGCAGTTTAGGTTCTAGCGGGATATGCAAAGTTGTAGGGTTTGATCGGGGAAAACTGTAACTGGCTTTAAAAAATTTGACCTTGAAGTCTCCAGTCAAGGTCGATCAAGGTCGGTAAAGGTCAACTTCAAATTTTTAAATTGGAACCCATATTTTTGACTCCGGAATTGAAAAATGCGGAAAGTTTTAAGTTCGGATGGTGTCTTTTGTCTTTTGTTTCTCTTAATACAAATCAATTTCACCTTTAAATGATCTTAGGGTTGAATTTTAGGTCAGTACCAATTGGCCCTTACAAAAAAAAAGTTATTTTTCGATAGAAACAACCACACTGGAGTTATTGGCTTAAATATTGTGTAGAAGGTAATGTTGATCGCAGAATGACTTGGTGAGGTCAATTCCGGGGACAAAAATAGGAGTTCCTATTTGAAAATTTGATGTTAACCTTGACCGACCTTGATCGGTGATCTCAAGGTCAAATTTAAGGTCAGTAACACTTTTCCCCCATCAAACCCAATACAGGTAATTTTCGCTTGAATCCAAACTGTCGGAAGGGCCCACCCTATATACAAGGTGTCTAAATATTTCTTGTACGTGGGTATACCTAACCTAAATTGCCTCGTTTAGCAGCTAGGGGGCGCCAAGGTTGACCAAGGAATTGATTAAATAATAACATGTCGGTTTGTTCATCTAAACTGTATCTATTGTTCTTCTTACAATTAGAACAGTTGCAATCTGAAAATAGTTAAATTGGTTGCAGATAAAATATAAAAATATTCCACTTGCAACACGTTCCAGTGTTATTAAAACTTCATCCTTATATGAAGTGCCATCGGTCAATGTCAAATTTAAAAATCAATATAGTTTTTGTTTACGACGCAGACAATCTACTGGATTTTATAAACAAAACATCACGCTGACGTGTCAAATTTATCCGAAAAATTCAGCGTCTTCTTTCGCCTAAACCACCGCGTTTTCCTTTTACTGCGTCAATATTTTGCCACTAAAAATTTCACCCAAGGCGGGTAAACAAACCTCTCGAATGTAAACATTCTTTCGGTGTTTCAATAATATAGTCCTCGTCTTCGAAACGTCAGGTCGAGTGTCTCGGGAACAAATCTGTTTGTGGGCAAGGTATTGCATTTTAAACGAGCGTGTTTGCAAAAACATTAGAGAAAAAGGGAAAAACAAGATTAGCGAGGTTTAGTGAATTTGAATATAAGCAACCAAAATGTTAAGTGACATTAGCAATCGAAATATCACAAAATATTTTTGAAAGCTTTATGTTTGTCGGAGTATTTACAGTCATATAGGTTTTAAGTTAGGCAACCAACATTGCATGATTGACACCGTCAATTAAAAATTAGAACCTCAGTGGAGCTGTTGAAAGGGTTAGATGTAATTCAATAAAATTGCTTTTGATATTAATTAAAGTGAACAGTTGATATTACATTTAATACATACAATTCAGTATTACACTTACGAGAATTACTTTAGTTGTTTTCGTTGAATGCGTTAACCTTATTAATAGGAAAAACAATCAAACCTCAGTTAATGAACAAATTGCAAAAAAAAACAAAAGAACAGGATGTGAAATCATAACAGGTTTAGTAAAAAATGACATACAGTGCGATACAAAAAAGTTATGGTTATTTAAACCCAGGTACAGCACTGCATGTGGCGTCCTCTAAACATTTGAGTTTCTCGTCATTAATACTCTCAATTTCTCGAATTTCGTCAAATTTCCATGTTATTGAACAAAAATATAATCAAAATACCAGAGATCTTAAGAATGACCTATGTTCATATGAATTTTGTATCTTAAAATATAGATATTGGAAAATATAACAAGCTTACTGTTTATTTCAAGAGTTATTCGAGAGGATACAAAACAAAAAAGCTGCAGTATTGGAAAGAGCACATATCTGAAGAATTTTTTACTGGGGCTTCCGATAAAGAATATTTAATGATTAATGTAATATCTCTTTAACTTTTACATGTTGTGAGGTCTATAGTGTACTTTGAATTATTTTAGGTTGCACTAATAATGGGGGTTTCTGGTGCCTGTCGATTCTGCGAATTGACAAATTAGTCACATATTGACACGTTGGCACTTACCTACTTGACACTATTTCAAGAAAATTTACAATTATAGAAGAAGGATTTTGCGTGAATTCTTTTGAAATATGCAGAAAATATATTTCTCTGCGCAAAACAGATTTTTTTTAAAATACGTCAATCAAAAATGTACTTCTCAGCCTGTTGGAATCAACACATTGGCGAACCCTCAATAGTTGCTTCATTCCTGAATATCACATATCCAGAAGTATATACTGGCCATTATATGAGGCGCACTTCAACAGCTTCATTGGCCAATAAAGGTGCTGATCTTACAACCAACAAACGGCATTGTGGATGGAAGAGCTACTCAATAACAGAAAGTTATGTTGAGGAGTCTACATCTAACCAACTTGATATTGCAAGGAAAATCAAAGGAAAATATGGGTGTTCCTTACAAGAAGAGACATCCGTAACTTTGCAAATTCTTCACAAACTTCGGCAGATGTTATGCGTTCCGAAAATGATGGCAACAATGCTACAAGGGTTGTTATTAACGGAAAGGAAGTTAAATGTGACAAAACAAGAAACGAAATGTCTATTACTTATACAGGGTGTTACAAAATTCGCGGACACGGACTGTGGAATCATATTAAGGAGATAAAAAAGTGTCTTTATGATTTTTCAATCAGACCAGTATTTTTTTGAGATATAGGCGTTAGGTCTGGAGAACGAGGTGGCCAAGCAAATGGGCCGCCTCTGCGAAGCCAATCGAACTGCTTTACCTGCACGATTATTTGAAGCTCCGAGAGCCATCACCATATCATACTATTCACAATTCTGGCCTATTATTTTGCAGTTTGTATTGACAGGTACTTTTACTGTACTCTAATGACGTCAAAGTATTGATAAATGCTTTTCGAATTGCCATTAATTGTTATAAAGCTGTCTGTTTGCTTCGTTCGAACGGTAGCACAATGTGCTGACGCCTTAGCAGCAGGTGCTGGACATTTTGAACAATTCGTTTGTCATAATTGTTTATCAAATGATCAAAAATTGAAAATTTTTAGTATTTTTGGATATTTAAAACTGCGATATCTCGAAAAATATCGGTCTGATTGAAAAATGATAGAGAAATTTTTTTATGACCTTCTCTAGCCTAACATGTTCCCAGAGTCCGTGTCCTCGAATCTCGTAACACCCTGTATGTAACTGATAATGTTAATAAGTAAATAAATTAAATTTGATTGATTGTGGGTTCATTATTCTACTAGTGAAATAAAGTTACTTTATTCCACTAGTGGATTAGAGCCAATTGTATGGTCTACAATTTATTAATATCAGGTACTTTGAGTCTCGGTTAAAGCTTGATTAACTAATCAGGCGATTAGACTGTATATTTTCTGATTTATTTTATGACGCATAATCACAGTCTAATCGCCTGATTAGTTAATCAAGCCTTAACAGAGACTCAAAGTAACGGGCCTAAATCTACAATATTTACAACAACTTACTATGACATACCAAAGTAATATGAAAAATATATTGAAGCAAAAATTTATTGCTAAATCAGAAACACTCTTATTAGTGTTATACTAATAAGTTCCTTCGAAATTGTAATTTTATGTTCTACGTTATATAAAGTTTAAACAAAATTTACATGCTTCTTTAATTTATGATTTAACACTATCTTTTCGGAAAAAGTAACGACAAATTAATTTTTATTACAAAAATTGCTTGCCTCTGTTTATTTCCGCGTTATTAAATGCAGTAGAATTACTCTTATTGGTTTGTCCTGTGGTACTTTTCCTGTTAAGCTATTTCTTAGGCAATAATTCTATTCACGAAAGACACTTTAAGATTTTAATTAATGATGGGAGTCGTTAAAAGCGCCTCCGAATAGTTTCGAAAAACGTCCGGAATTGGAGGTGGTTTTTATGTAAGTGACTGTGAAAGTAAGGCATTCGTCAATCTCACCTAATACAAGCATCCCCTTTGTCTTCCTGTCCTCGCTGGTGAACGTGGATACCATACACGTATAATTCCCTGAAAGATCTGGACCTGGTTCGATAATGTGTAGAGCCCTGTGGACGCTGTTCGTGTCCTTGCTAGCGGAATAGTTCAGATTAAGTCTTCCTTTAAGGATACCTGGAAAACAAATACGATTTGGGTGAAAAATTATAAAAATTGTCGTGAAACTATTACACTGAATAATGGACATTAATTTAAATTTTAATATGCTGCTTAGTTAATCTTTTCTTTGCCACGAAAGCTCGCAATATTATTAACAAATGCAGGTGATATGGTAAACAGGACACACTCATAGCAGGATACGAGCATCAACGGAATTAACGCAAAAAATTATATATTTTCCGGACAACAAACAAACGCGCAAGCAAATTGTGCCTCCCAGTTGAATGTGGTAGTTTATAGCTGGCATTTACAAGTGCAAATAACGGTACAAAAATGTCGGTCATTATTGTAAAAATGTGGCGTTACGTACGTTGCAAAAATTGTTGTGGAATAAGGAAGCCTCTATTGCTTGTGAAGAGTAGTTGTCGTTTTCCGGACACTGATTGTACTACAGCACTTTAAATTTGATCATATTTTTTGTTATACATAAAATTTGTTACTAAGACCAATAAAGTCTTTGTCACTGGTAACTATTAGTGTTCCTAGACTTATGATCGTCATTTATGGAAATTGTGTATTATAACTTTTTCGTTAGGTATGGTTCCTGATTGATAGTCAGAAGTTATGCAAGAAAATATTATTAGTTATGCGAAGTATAAGACAGCTTATAACGAATTCAAAAGGAAAAGTAGTCTGACCCAACGGCTGAACCTATGCATATGTATTTTTTTAGATCCTGAAAAACTGTCCTTAAATACAGAAAAAACAAAAACCTCGCTATGGAGGAATCAGCATTACCTAGGTATAATTCAGTGGCAGCTCGTAACATTGACAATGTCCTCAATTTTCCATATGGAAATTGGCGTTTCCAATAAAATACATACTGGATCATACATAGGAAACATTTCTACTATTATTATACAAAACAAATATTAAGAATCGTTATAATCAAGCACTGGGCGACGCGTATCGTATTGTAACAAAAGCCGGAACGCGCGGTCATTTATTTATTAGTTCCCGGAACGGAAAGTAAGATATTTAAGTCGTCACAATTATCGGAGGGTTAATGGGTTTCAAGTAGGTCGCCAAGATCGTCCTTCGGAGAAATTTGCCAATTTTTTAACGAGTTTACTTAAACTGTCGGGGCCATGTGTTAAGCGTCTAGTATGAGAAAAAAATCGATATTTAATAACGCGCGAAACCACAAGAAGAGCGTGGAGATTCCAAATTAGAATTAAATTATATTGTAAAATTGATAGTAATTCGAAAAGAAAGTATACCTAAGCAGCTGGGTTTTTTTGAAGAATTTTTCCTAGTTATAAGAGTAGATTAAATGAAATCGACTAATCCGTCCCGTAATTGCTACGCGGAGTCATAGGGGAAGGCTAGGGTTACTAGTAAGTCATATAATTAATGTTATAAATGTAAATTCAGTCAATTAGATAAATATACAAGCGTCCCGTTATTCAGGTCCCCGCCAATAAGATAAGAACCGAAACTTCTAGACCCAAGAAATGGGCGTGGTCAAAGCGAATTGTGGAATTCAGGAAGAATCTCGAAAAAGTCAATTCGTTCTTAAGTTTCACATTGAGCAGACTAATTATTAACTTTAAAGTCTCGGGCTAATTAATTAATTTTGATAGTTTTCCTAAATTTTGTATAGAGCGCGCATTCCCTGAATCTCGGTACGCTGTCGCGATTGAATCAATTAATTAATAATGTCGTCGAGCCGTTATGTTTTTATTTTGTTTGTTTTGTTTATTGTTAATAAAACCCTTCCTAGAAGTTTTGTGTTTCCTTTGTTTCTCCAACTTCAGTGCTTTCCTGTATAGCCACCCACTGGGTTACATCCCACGTAAGCAATGAAAGGGTAAGTGCTTGGAAGTAATTTTCTGAACATACAACATTTCTAAGTTCCCACGTGTTAATTAAAGTATAACGATAACTAAATAAACTCCCTTTTGAGAATTAAGTAGTCACTCTTTCGAGCATTAAATAGATAATTAATTAAAGGTAGATAATTAAAGAAATAACCCCTCAGGTTACAGTATAAACTGTTTAAAGGCAGGCTATGATGGGCGATGACAATGCTACTTCAATATCCGCGTCACTTGTTTCCCACGTCGTAGTTTACTCCCGTGTTAGGCGCCTCGTTGCCATGACAACCACCGTAAACAATAGAAGGTCGAAGGTAGAGAGAAGGTATTTTTAATAGACATAGTACTCATTTGTGGTCATCCCCATGTTATCCGGGAAAGTAACTTTCAAAATAAATTTAGCGTAAATGTTTTTTGTCTAATTGAAGATTAGGATGCCCGAAAACCCGGTATCCCAAATTTTCAAAATTCGAGTCGAAGTAGTCTCTGAAATAATCCGAATAGGCCGTCACCGTGAGACACCCGTGTATTTAAACGTAAAAGTGTACGAACCCCGTGCTTTCCCTGAAACTCTTTCTATTTAGTAGGGCCTCCTATCTCATTTTATTACATCTCCCGTGGAATTATCAACCCCAATAAAGATACTCCCCGCAGATACATATATAATATATACACATTCCCGTACGGCTCCCGTTTCCCTCATATCTTCCGCGTCCAGCTGTGCGAAAGGACAAAGTCTTGCTTATCGCCCGTTCGCTATGAGTTTGATTAACGTTCGAAGATTTATTTGTGAAAAAGAAGTGGCTCTGCGGACACTGGGCTGTTTATCCATTGTCTTAATTTATTGCCGTACTTGCGGGAAACAGAGGGTTGTCATTATCTCCGGAGTAAATCTTTTAATGTCAAAACTGGGCCGTTTGTTACTTGTCGATAAAATTCATTTCCGGTTCTCCTCCCCGTCCCCCTCGACTTCTGTTAGTTCTTGAGATCACACGATTGCTTTTCTCAATGGTCGCTTAACATTAATCCTTGTAGATATATAATTTCTACAGTCTCTGGATGTCGAGATGCAGCAGATAGATGCGTCCCGATGGGACACTTAATTGAGGATTTGTAACTCTAACTACGGAATTTATAAAAAAGTCTGTTTATTTTTGTGAAAAAATGCAACCGGACTTTAAAATATATTGTTCCCCACAGCGTATTAGCCGCTGGGCATTTTATAGTCTCTTTTGGAGCACCTCTTTCAATTTGCTTGCACTGTTAAAGAATTTCATCATAGATGAGATTTATTTTAAAAAGGCATCTATTCTATTATTATCAAAGGTATTAAACTAATTCAAACAAATTTAGAAATCTAGATAGCTAGAAAAATAATAAAGCTGAGAATAAATTAATATTTTTTTAAGTCATTAGCATGATAACAGCCCGCTTATACATTTCTTTGTTGCAATCGTGAGAGTTTTAATGCGAATGATAATTTAATTTTTTTGTTAATGAACAAACGGTTAGTTTTAAAGTAAATATTATAAAATAGTAATAAAGTAAATTTTTGAATATTCAATTTTGATCAAATAAAAAAGTTGTAGCAAAAAATAACTAATAAATTTTTTGATTTTCATGTCACAACTCCTATTCCACATTTTTTTTTTTGGAAACTGTATCTTCTAAGGGGTGCATTTTACCAAGGTCTTTTTTTATTCAAAACGTGTCCTTTTTAACTGTAGATTCAGGGGTTACCATTTGTGCTACTTCGTTTGAAAACACCCTGTATACATAATTGTGATCCTAAATTGAATTATTGTTCTTCTTTTTTCATCTATTTAATAAATCGTTATACGTTACTAATATGTTTATAACACGTAAGACGTTTATAATAAACTTAGCAAAAAAATTGAGGGAGCAGAAAAATTCGATCGTATTGAGAAAAAAAAAGAAGCATTTTGAAGCTTGAAGATTCTAGTTTTGAAAACTTGAGATGAATAAAAGAAATGCAGCAGCACATGGGCTCAGAATTTTTTTTCTTGCTTAATCAATCAATTGAAAAAGTTTTTTCTGCTGTTTTGGAAAATCAACTACTTTACAAATATTGCGAAAAGTACCAATGTTTGTAGGTTTTTCTTAGTTCAATACATACATATGAGTCCTGTAAATTTTGAAATCGATCGGTCGAATCGTTTTCCTTTCCTGAATCGTAAGTTTCATCAAAAATTAAAGGAGGTTTATTGTTCCTAAACATCAATTAATGATTAAGATGCGTTATTCTTTTCACAAATTCGCGTTAAATACTCATCAAATGTCGAAAAAAAATTTTTAATTTTGAAAAATATTAAATATTTCAAAATTTTTCAAATTTTTTTGCGTTCTTTTTTACAATTTTACATTTGAATATTTCTAATGTCGAGAGAAAAAAAAATTTGGAATTTAAAAAGGATTGAAGATTTTAGTTTTGAAATCAGATTCAATATTGAAAATAAAATCAAATTTCTCAAAATTTTTCAAAATTTTTTAAAAAATTTTGCGCTCTCATTTCTTACAATTTTATATTGAATATTTCAAATGTCGAAAAAAAAATTTTGAAATTAGAAAAAAGTAGAAAAATTTATTTTTTTTATATTTGGTATTTAACGTGAAATTGTGAGAAAAATAACTAACTCCGTTCGCTGTATGATTATTTTTCTCATTGATATATCGGCTATTGAGTGAAAAGTCATCTTTTTTTTATCATCGATTTCTCCTGAACTACTGATAGTACAGTGAACGGAAGATGGGTTTTAGAAACATGAATCAATCCTCTTCAAGGACTTTTTGCTACGTTTGTGATTTTTTTTTTATATACTCAGCATTGATTCGAAAAAGTGCAAAAAAATTAATCTGCTGTTTTAGAAAATCAACGACTTCTTTGCAAATATTGCGAAAAGTACCAATCTTTGCAGGTTTTTGCATGCCCATGAGGCTTGTAAATTAAACATCAATTAATGATTAAGATGAAACAAATTTCGCGTTAAATACTCATCAAATATCGAAAAGAAAAATTCAAAATTTTGAAAAAAAACAAATTTTTCAAAATTAAAAAAAAATGTTTGCGTCTTCTTTTTTGCAATCTTACATTAAATTTTCGAAGAGAAAAAGAAATTT